ACCCTCGTGCAGGTCCTTCAGTGCCTTGGCCTGGTGCACCTGCAGTAACGCCAAAGCGTGTAAGGCGGAAGCAGCTTCCCCGCAAGCCGTATAAGCACCGCCGGTAAGACCAGACGAATGCCTACAGGCCCAGGAAGGGAGCAACGGGTCTCCCCGCCAGGAGGAGGTGGTCTTAGGACACAACTGCATCGCTACCGACCACTCCACCGGGGGGATCGCCGAATACCCCTTCGCTGCACCACCGTCGAGTGTGGTGAGGGAGGAGGAGCTAGAAGGCCGGTTTTTGGCAGTAAAAGGTGCCGTCCACGACCTGGTAAGCTCCCTCATCACCTCCGGGAAGAAAGGCACCGAGGTGCTGAGAACCAGCGCGAGCCGAGCCACCCCGAGAAACCAATCATCCAACCTCGAGAACTCGGGACGCGGTGGAGGACTCCACTCGAGCCCTATCCTTTCGGCGGCCCGGGAAAGCATAGCAGACATCTCTGGATCCGATTCAGGCATTGCCACCATCCCGGAGGGCGGCAGCGCAGCCGAATCTTCCTCTCCAGAGAGCGCTCCCTCCGATGCAGTGATTGACATCCGGTCATCGGGAGGAGCCCTGAAGGATACCACTGGTACGCTCTTTAAAGAGGGCCCAGCGCGTTCCTTCGGCGGCTCTGCTGGTTGCGGAGCACTGGAGGAGTGGTGGGCCCCTGAGAGTTGGTTCCCTGAGGGGTTTGCCACCACTGTAACCCTCAGACCACCCGCGCTACTGCTGGAAGTAGTCCTCATCTGGCCGCCGCCAGAACGAGCACTAGATCGTGGCAGAGGCAATGGAACTCCGCCCCCTGAAGGTAGCAAAGCCTAGTCCGCAGCTCCGAGATGGTCCTCTTCCCGCAATGGCAACATGACTCATCCACGAACGCCACCTCAGCGTGCTTCAAGCCCAGACACGTGAGGCAGCGATCGTGACCATCATCCGGCGCCAGGTAACGACCGCACCCAGAAACGCACGGCTGAAACGGCATCTTTAAAAAGACGATCCGTCCTCTTTACAAAGATGCACCCGTAGAGCTGTTTTAGAGAAATTGCTCTTTCAGGGAAATGCTCTATTAGTGCTGAGGCGCAAAGGGGAAATGGCCGCTTGCAGCATAACAGGGGGTAGTGCAGCCTGAAGTGTGCAACCCACTCGACACCGGAACGACCACCGCTGAAGCGCTGTCAGCCAACACCAGAAGCATCCAAGAGCGCGTTGAACTCGTAGCTCACTGAAGACA